GGCCGGCCACGTCCCCTAACGCCGGGCTTTGCCTTGCAGGCCAGGCCGCCCCCGCCAGCCACCTCATCCGGGTGGAGGGCAACAACCTCTCGCAGTACGTGGACGACCCGGTGACGGGGCGGCAGAGCGTGATGGTGCCCTATGAGCCCCCGCAGGTACCGGCTGCTCCCGGGGCGGGGGGCAGGACCTGTGCTGGGGTGAGCCCCGTGGTTTTTTAAGGGCAGCAGTGTCCCGCTCGCCCTGGCACATCTAACGCCAACCCCTGCTTGCTCCCCATGCCGCTGCGTTGGAGCTCCCGGCGCTGTGAAGCGTCCCAGAGCATCCCCGTCCTGGGGTGCAAAGGGAGATCCTTCAGGGGTCACTGCCTTCAGGGCAGTGGTGGGGTCCTCATCCCTGGAGGGGTCCAAAAAACGTGTGGATGTGGCACTTTTAGTGGGCACGGTGGGGTTGGCTTTACAGTTGGACTTGATGATCTTAGAGGGCTCTATCAACCTTAACGACTCTGTGATCCCCCCTAATCCTGCCCTGAGGACCCCCCTCTTCCCAGCTGGGTCCATCCCACACCGCCCTTCCCCAGTGCCCCCTGCCAAGGCACCAGTTGGGGGGTCCCAGGCCGCCTCCCACCCCTCCCCGCTCAGCGCCTGCTCTCCCCCCCGGGCAGGTGGGGACCGAGTTCACCACCATCCTCTACAACTTCATGTGCAACAGCAGCTGCGTGGGAGGGATGAACAGGAGGCCCATCCTCATCATCATCACCCTGGAGACCAGAGAGTGAGTGGCTGCGGGGGCTGCGGGAGGGCTGGGGGGCTCGGGAAGGACCCCCCTCATTGCAGGGAGCGCCCGGGGGATGTGACAGGGGAAGGGCTGGCCTGGCAGGAACAGCCCCGCTCCCTCCCTCGCAGCGGGCAGGTCCTGGGCAGGAGATCCTTCGAGGGACGCATCTGCGCCTGCCCCGGCAGAGACCGCAAGGCCGACGAGGACCATTACCGGGAGCAGCAGGCGCTGAACGAGAGCGCAGCCAAAAACGGCAACGGCAACAAGCGCGGTGAGTCCCGGCCGGGAGACGGGGGGGTCCGGGCACTGCCCCTGCAGCCCTCACCGCTCAGAGCCGTGCAGCGCTCCTGCCTCAGCTCCTCTCCCAGAGTCACGGTGATCCAGAATTCGGGCTCCAATCCACATCCAGGGCCGATGCTGTGGCCTTTCTCTACTAAATCCAAATTCTCCTCCGTCGGATCCGCTCCCTTCTCCCTCCAGAGCACAAAGCGGTTTGTGCAGGGCTCCCAGCTCCAGATTTACTTGTCCTTCACTACTTTTCCTGCTAAAGGGACAGTGTCAGCACCAGGCCCGGGCGAGGAGCTGGCACCCTGCGTGGCGTGGGCTTAAACCCTGCGGGGAGCCACGGTGTCTGTCCATGCCACCCCAACCTCTGCCCCTCTCCTCTCCAGCCTTCAAGCAGAGCCCCCAGGGCATCCCCGCGCTGGGGACCGGCGTGAAGAAGCGGAGGCACGGGGAGGAGGAGATGTATTACGTGCCTGTAAGTGTCGGTGGGGCTGCACCGGGTCAGAGCTCGGCTGGGGACGGCGGTGGTGGCATCGTCCCCTCTGTGAGAAACGCCTTGGGGACGCGGTGCTGGGGTTGTGGGGACCCCCTGAGAGCAGGGGGCTGAGCAGGAGCAACAGCATCTGCAAACGCACGCGTGCAAGGGGATCCTGGACCCCCAAATAGTCTCCGGTGATGCTGCGCCGTGGGAAAAGGGGCCACGGGTGAAGGCGTCCGGGTGGGCCGGGACACAAGCGAAGCCCTGGGCTTGTTCCCTCCTCAGGTGCGGGGCCGGGAGAACTTTGAGATCCTGATGAAGATCAAGGAGAGCCTGGAGCTGGTGGAGCTGGTCCCGCAGCAG